AATGTGTACCATTGTACCTGCAGAGCATACTTTAGATGGTAGGAGTCCTTCAGAGTGCATCTTTGCACTTTTTAAGTCAGTAGACTGTTATCCATTCTTCAGCAGGAAATAGATCAGTGCCTGGGGCTGAGCATTAGTAAGAGAAAGAAAAAGATGGCCACAGCCAAAATCTAAGATCACTTGACTAACTATACCTTAGAATGTACCATTATTCAAGAGATAACTCAAGGCATTCCCCCAGTCAGACCCGCTTCCACACCTTAGGACCTTAACTCAGTTCCTTGTGTGTTACAGAAGCCTTCCTCTAAAAGCATTCAAGAGATACTGTTCTGGTTCCAGTGGCCTTTTTGTAGGCATTTCTTGGCTCAGAGGGTTTCATATTTGGCAGCTTTGTCTTCCAAGCTTTTAAATCCTTCAAAAGCATACAGTGGTCTTTAGTACTAGGCTTTCACCTTTATCAATGGTTGTATCCTGTCTTCTGGCAGTTGTGGTGCTTTGTCCACAAGATAAAGCTATCCCCTACTGCTACTTAACTTGAACCTAGCACACTGCTCCGGCAAGTGGCACTATACCCCTTTTTTATAATCAGGCTGTGTCCATCAGTGAACCCGCATACAAATATAAAAAAAAACAAGATTAAACAGTCCAAGGAATACATTCTAAAAAAAAACAGTTATTCAGAAATTAGGTAACCATTATTTATTACACAAAGACAGTGAATAATAGTAATTATGTTATTTAGTAAAATTTATTTATTTTTTTTAAACCCCAAACAATAGCACAATAGCAACATGGGCATTGTTTCTTGCACAACAATAACAGTGCAGTCATTTAGTTTGTTCTTTATTTCATGAGCAGTAAAAAGTATTTATTTTTTGCTTTTAATACCATCACCAATAGTGACTGCCTAAAGCAAACTGGCCAAGTCCAGGTCAATTTTTCAGTCTTAGACAATGATTCACACAGCTTTTACAGAGTCACCAGGCTAATTTCTTCATTGTGACCCAATTGTGGAATCAGCTTTAAAGAGCAAAGTAAAACAATAGCAATGAGCCAAATAAATTCAGCTTGCCTGATCGATCCCTTCCCATGAGATCAGTTGGCCAAAGGGTCTCTGCAGAACTTGCAAAGTGCAGAGAAAGATATAATGAATTCCCATTCTAATTACATCTAGCCATGTCAGGTCATCTTACAGCATGTCTATGAGAACCTTAAGGGCCGTTTCACGCGATAGTGTTGCGTTAAATGCATCATACCATATGTTTAGCACACACTATCACACAGTGCATATAGCATGCACTAAGTGTGTTGCGTTGCCATTCATTTGGATGGCACTTCCTGGTGGCCACTCGTTGCAGCACAGCACAGCACAACACGTGGTACAGCAATACCGTGCATTGTGGTGAGAAAAAGTAGTGCTTGCAACACTACCAGGAGGTGTGTTGGGGTGCCATTCAAATGAATGACAACGCACCTAGTGCACAGTATTGCACACTAGGAGTGCTGTGTAATAGCATGTGATTGTGCATTTAGCACAATCCTACAGTGTGAACCGGCCCTTAGTTTAGAATACTGTCCTGCACCATCAATCATTTTAGGCTAATAGAGATTTACGGATAGCTGCTTGAAGTATCCTACAATGGATTTACTGGGCACTTGTATTCAGCAGTGTGTCTCCCAGTTACTGTTAGCACTGATAAGCATCTGAAGCTTTTAGGTATATATCCGTAAATGTCATTAATTGTTGTTAAGTATTATTATAGTATTATATATTGTTTTATTGTCATTTAGACTGTTTGGAAATAAAATTACTGTTAAATTTAATGGGTGATATGGTTCAGGTAATATGGCATAAAGCAGAACTCTACTTTATGTTTACAAGTATATATTTGCAAAATGATTTTAAAAGATGTTAAAAAATAGGAAGATTAAAAAATATATATATTTTAAAGGAAAAAAAACAAATGGGTGGAGCTAGCAGTGACAGCTAGCTCCGTCCAGCTGTTTCCTATTGGCCGACATCTGCTAGAGTCTTCTAGCAGGTCCCAGCCAATGAACAACGACATGACGTCACGGCCGGCTCCGATCAGTTGTTATTGTTTAATGACAGATCAACGGCCCCAGGTCATTTGGGGACGCTGATCTGTCATTACAACTGGGCGGAGCCAGCCGTAAGATCACAGCTGGCTGGGCCCAGCTGTCATTTGTGGGGCGAACGGCCGGCCTTTGGCCCTGAACCAAAGGGCTCTGCCAGGCAAAGAGACCCGAAGGATCAGCCAAAGCTACAGCTGTATCCTTTGGCTCAATAGTGAATAACCCCCAAAATGTCATTAGAACACCCAAAAGATTAATTAATTAATGCAATTAAAGGAGCTAAAAACCATAGTGCATAATATAAACAAACACTGCTTGCCCCACACATTACCGCTATGCAAGAGTCCCTGCAAAGCCATAAGTCATGTTGCTCGTGGCTCTGCAGGAACACCTGTATAGTGTTAATTTCACAGACGTCAGAAGCAAAGCAGCACAGAACCAAGGAAGGTTCTGCCTTGGTTCTGATGTGTTATATAATAAGATGATAAGAGGAAGCCTAGAAATACTTTCTCTCACTACAATCTGGGTGCTGCTCTGCTTCTGAGGTCTGGCAAGTTTTCTTCATGGTGGAGGGGACTTTTTATTGGGAAGGGAGAGAAGTGTTTGCTTGTAAGGAACATTTTTCTAAGGAGAATGAATACATTTTTCTAGGGGAAAGAGGGGGAAAGGCAATCTTTGCTGGGGGAGTGGGATTTTTTGTTGGAGGGAAGAACTGAATGTATACTTGAGTGGAGGGTTTTTTTTCGCTTTGGGAGGGGGATTTTTGCTTGGGGAGGAGGGAGGGAAGAATATTTACTTGGGAAACAGAAAATGTTTGCTTGGAGGGTGGCTGATAGTGTACGGGGTAAGTACTCTTGAGCTCTGTACATGAGGACATATGTTGAATACGCCTGACCATTGCACTCCTTAGAGTGAAAGCACATATGGTCAGAAGTATGCAATGTGAAATGGTCAGGAGTATTTAGCACACAGCATACGCTGTACTATATGTTATCTACTTCTGATGGCTTTATTCTGTACACTAGACTAATACATACTCCTGACCGCTGCACTTTGCTGGGTTTCATCTTACTACTGACCAGTGCACTCTGTTTGCTAGACTATATGTTAAGTACTCCTAGCCGATGCATTTTGTATGTTATATACTCCTGACTCCTGCTCTGTTAACAGTCTGTTAAGTGTTCACTGTCTTAACAGTTGCTAATTATGTAGCCCCACACTATGTAAATGTGGATTTCCTCCACTTATGATGACCAAGGGTGCTCCAGGTCTTTCACAATCCTAGCAACACCCCTACAGCCTACATTGCCTACAGGCCTGCTAGCCCTCATGCATGAAGCTTGTGAGGGCTGTGGTAAAATGAGCCACTTCCTCCCACTGAACAATAGGGGAATTTTTTGTTATTTTTTACATCCTGTACAAGACGATTGTTTATACTTACCTATCCTAATGCTCTTCCTGGGATCTGAGCTCCCATTTACATCTGACTCACTTCTGGGTGTGATCCTTTTACGCAGGGTAGCGGGGGCTTATTGTTAACATAATGGGGCCTGGGTTAACATAATCAACCACTGCTTAAGGGCCTATCACTTTAGAGCCATAGCAGATTTAATTTGTCACTAGCACTGTCTGCAAGACAATGTAGTCTCTACTAACTACTACTGTGTCATAAAATCTGTCTCTTTACTCATTCTTCTTTTCAGCATAAAGGGAGAACGTGGAATAGAGAATTCTCACATGCCATTACATGTTTACATCTATGACCACGGTCAGGTCCAGCATTTTCTGGCAAATGTTGGTAATCATACATTAACTATAGTGAGCAAGAGGCATCTATCTCATTATAGAAATAGCTTTACATGCTGATATTGGCAAATCAAACTTTTAACATTTATACTTTTGATAATAACCAATATTGTCTAAAGGTTCTCTAGGAATGGTATCTACTGCATACAATTATATACACCTCTATATAGAGTAGTTGCAAATATATCCTAAAGAGGAGGAGAGAGGGAAAGTTTTATCTTCTGATATATATTTGAATAAGTGTCTCCTGTCACTGTTAATCCATTCCATAACATTTGAAGAGGGTTCAGTAAAGTTAATACACTGTTACTAACAAGAATACCTCATGATTTGTCATTTCAATGTGAAATCAATAATGTTATACATGTGATAGTAAGAATACATTTGCTGTTTTTTTAACATTGTTACTTTTTTTTACCTTTTTTTTTTTCTTCTTGTTTGTGGTTACCATTGTTATGCCTCTAATAAATAGGACACTGTACGATAAAATACGGTAATGTTGCTGAAGTCGGTTCAATCAAAAAAGGGTTGACCAATACATTCTTATACTTTAATAAATCATGAATAGCTCTAGACCTTCATACTGGTTAGGTGTCAAATATTTATCTTTTTTGTAGGGTGGGAGGGTTTCACAAACTAATGAGGGATTTAAAGCCACTATGTAAACTGTTCATAACAGCTTAAATGGCACACTGATAATGGTTTTCTATTGTTTGCCTGTGTAGAATACTAAACCCTCTCATAAGAGACTAACTCAGAGAAGAGCTGACATTTGTTCTAATAATTAGTGCCCCAGCCTTACGTTAACTATGCACTAACATGTTTTTGCATGCAATGCATACTAGTGACAGAACTACCAAGTAAACCAATAGAAACAAGATATTTTGCACAATATATGATTTTTGAAAAGGGCTTTCAGTACAATCTGTCAAAAATTGATTTAAAAATAATAAACATCTCCAAAAATATCATTTAAATCATTACAGTATGCACAGATTACACATTTTATGGCTCATTAGTATGCATTGCCAAACTAAACACCTTTTGCTGTTCATGTTAACATATGCTGTAAATTAACAAATTCTTGAAAACAGACTTACGGTAACCATCTCTTTGTCTGTTTTTGGCGACGTGTCTCCTGGAAACTTAATGATGGGTGAAGGTGCAGCTGTGTTCTGTTCAAACCGATCAAAAAACGTGAACAAAAACGCACAGAGATGAATTGCTTGTACAAATTTCATCCTTAGCTAGCTAGTGGCACAGCCCAGGTTATAGTACCGAGTGTCTTTCTGAAACTTCTTGTGCCTCTTAATTGGTAATTCTTTATCTTGTCCTGACAGCTGACCAACTTTTCAGTGCGTTGAGTTCCTTTGTGTGGAACTTAATCCAGATGTACTGTACACTGTGTAGCTAACTCAGGAGAAATCGGGAAACATGAGAGGAGGAGGGAAGCCAGATGTGGCTGGCAGGATGTTCTTAACCCCAGATGTCCTGGTGTAAAGCATAGTGACTCAAAGTGACACAAAGATTCTCTTTGTGGGCTCTTTTTAAGGCCCAGTATCCTACAGTATTCATACATATTAAAAGCTCTACCTAATAATAATATTATGTATATATAAAATTCTTTGAATGGCTACACACTAAGCATATATGTAATATAAGTTGTTAGTTTGTGTTATATTTCTAGCACTGATGCTACAAATGATCAGAAACTAAATACAAATATTTTGTCATTCCAGCTATTTATTGTTGTTTTTTTTTAATTTATGTAACCCTGACACATTTTATAGAAAACATTGAACTTTTTACATTAGTCCCTGAGCTTTGATATAACAGGAAAGCCCCAGGCCAAATCCTTTCTATTCAAAATATGAGGTATACATATGGTATAATGACAGTAGTCCACACAGCAGGTTAAGTTTCAAGCTGGCCATAACCAACTTTATTATGCTTCTACCATAAACAGTATTTCCAGTAGGAAAACATATAGGCAGTTGTTCCAAAGCGATAAAAGATAACACACAAGAATAAATCCTTGCCTTTCTAGCTCCAACTACACATTACCCTCCTTTTTAGTAGGTAAATGGACCTTGTAAACAGATCCCAACAATAAGCTCCATTCCCACTTAGTGTTTTGAATTCAGGATGTTTTTGTATGTGGAAAAACGTATGTGTACAAAAACATGCAAATGTTATTAGACGCAGATTTTTCTGTGCATTTGCGACTACAACCACAGTCATTTTGGAGACAGATCGTACTGAAATCAACTAGAAAATCGTGTGTGCACTTTTTTCGTATTTCTTATTTTTGTGCATGTGTATGAATGCACAGGTGTGAATAAGCCCCATGAGAATGTATTGCTTTTTTTTGTTTTGCACATTCCTGCGCATATAGATACACGTGGAAAAATACTAATGTGTGAATGGAGGCCCAATGGTTTTACTTATTAAAGATTGCTGCTACACAGTATCTCATTACAGAGCTAGGTGGTTAAAGTTTATGTGAGTTTTGAGGCAGCAGCCTCATCCATAAAGAACAACCAGAGCCATTGGTTGATTGGGATGGATGAGGCCATGGTCTCAGGAGCAAACTGTACCATTTCCTTGCTACTATAATTTTTCCAGTGCTCCTCTTCTATCCTCTCCACCTGTTTTGACTCGGGGGTCAAAACATACACACGTAGCTCCTTAACAATCACTTTTAATTTCAATATCTGTATCACGATGTGGACAATTAAATTTGGCTAGATTGTTAGTAGTCATGAGCAAAATCGGCTGATTTTGCTTTGCAGAAATTTTGTTGAAAATATCCAGTTTTTGTGCAAAATTTCACTATAGGTGATATTTATTGGAGTCGATGGGGAAGGAAACATTATTTTACTTTAAAGCCTAATGGTTTTGATTAGCTCCTGAAGATTATAAGTTTTATTTTGTTTGTCTTTGGGAATAGTATGTTGTAAGTTGAGCTGTTTTAGAAAATAGGTGTGAAAAAGCTGTTTTCGGGTGTATGTCTGATATTCTTGATTATCTTAGTGCAGGGACTCTGCCTTACGTTGGAGTGTTCCCAGTCTAAATGTATTGTTTCAGCTAGACTATAGCCAGCCTGAGCTTTGTTTGTGTAATCTGGGAATATCAGGTTTCCCCTAAACGCAAGAACATTATTTTCTTTTTGCCAGGTACTGTTGAACATTCACCAGTAAGTAATGTGAGAGGATGCAATGTATTGTGTTATGAATATTTATTCTGTCTTGGCCAATAACTGAGGGTTTTTTGCCAGTGATGTGGATTGTAGAAGTGGATAAATATTGTGTGAGACTGTCTAGAAGGGTTCTTTCCCTCGGGGCTTTGCCTGGAGAGGATGTAGTGGGGTAAGGTCCTTGCCTTCCAGGCTACTGTTTGGGGGTGGGATGTAGCTCCAGAGGGGTCTAGTCTTTGCCTGGAGGGGAAAGAGCAAAGAAAGGGTGTTTGTTCTCCTAACTGCCCATATGGACCCAGAGTGTCTTTATCTGGCCTGTGGCAGAGGTCTAAAGAGTTTGTAACCTGGCTTGTGGCAAAGGCTAAAGAAACCAAAAGGTAACCACCTATCCAGGGATACAGAATCAACATTAACCTTTGGCAGAGGCATAAATAGTTCTGCACTTTTTGTTACATGTAAAAAAATGCAGTTTTTTTGGACATGAAAAAACTGCAATATTGCAGTGCAACTGCAGTATTACTGCAGTCCAGCTGAAGTATTGCTGCAGTACATCTATAATACTAGTAAAATACAACTGCAATACAACTGCAGTACAGGTGAAGTATTTCTAAAATACAACTGCAATAGAAGCAGTATTACTGTAATACAGCTGATGAGAAGTGGGATTGTTTTAAAAATAAATTGCACAATGCTATTAGTAAGTGCATACCAGTGACGTGCGGCACCTCTTGCTCGGAGCAAGGCATTGCCCAGCCCCCCCGCTGGCCGAAGCTCGGCCTCCTGTCGGGCAACGCCCCCCGCATGATGAAACCCCGCCTCCAACCCGTCCCCAAGCTAGTGTAAAGGAGGAAGGGAGGGAACAGGGAGGAGCCTCCCTGTCCTTCACCACTGAGGCTCCGTGACAGGTTACACAGCGGGCAGGATGTCCCTGCTGTGTAACCTGTTAGATGCCGATCTGAATAGAGAAAAAGCTGTCAGCTTCAGAAATAATTCTAGGTGAGGCTCTGCCTTACCTGCCTCCCCTGACCCCACGTCCCTGGTGCATACCATTGGGCAACAAAAATAAAAGAACAACAAGAGAGCTAGATAAAATGGTAAAACAACATATCAATTAGAGGAAGCTGGTATTTAAAAAATATAAGATGGAGGGGACTGCATTGGTTTTTTAGATCTACAAGGAAGGCAATAAGGGAAGTAAAAGTGCATCCGGGCAGCTAAAATAGATTACAAAAAAACATTTTGCTACAGTCAGTAAAAGAACCCCCAAAAATCTTCCAATATATAAACAGTAACAAGGTAACAAAGGAGCAGGTGGGCCCAATAAAAGATGAGAACAGAAGATTAATCACAAATGCAGGAAGAAGGCTGAGGTATTAAATGCATTTTCTCCTCAGTATTCACTCCAGAAAAAGACAGGTTTAATGGAGATAAGAATGTGAGTAGCTTAGTGCATAAGATACTGCAGTGGTTGACAGTAGCCGGGGTTCAGCAAAGACTAGAGAATCTCAGGGGTCTATTCACTAAGCTCCGGAAGGATCTAGCCGTAGCTTCGGCTGATCCTTCTGGCTAGCTTAGGCCCCAGGACCCCTTCGGTTCAGGAGAACCGAAGGGCTGTTGTACAGGCTATTCACTATGGCCCGTACAGCTCCCGAAGTTGGCCGAGAGGCTCAGACGAGCCGAAGGCATATGCTTCGGCTCGACTGAGCCACGGTTCAAAGCCGAAGCTGGCCGAATGGCCGGCCATTGGCCGTCCGACAGCCTGCTTCTGACAGCTGGGCGGAGCCAGCCGTCATCTGACGGCTGGCTCCGGCCACTTTCGGAGAGATCAGCGTCACTGGTTACCAGCTAACCAGGGACGCTGTCATTACACACAGAGAGCGGCCTCTCCGTGTTCTCAGTGTGTAATGACAGATGGCGTTCCTGGTTACCCAGGAACCAGGAATGCCATCTGCCATTCCTCCCCCGGACGCTCTGGGAGTATAATAGAAAACAGTTGAGCAGAGCTAGCTGTCACTGCTAGCTCCGCACAATCGTTTTCTACTTTTTTTTCTACTTTTTTTCTCAGACGAGCCGAAGGCATATGCTTCGGCTCGACTGAGCCACGGTTCAAAGCCGAAGCTGGCCGAATGGCCGGCCATTGGCCGTCCGACAGCCTGCTTCTGACAGCTGGGCGGAGCCAGCCGTCATCTGACGGCTGGCTCCGGCCACTTTCGTTATTTTAGAAATTTGTTATAATTATAGTATAAAAAATATATTTATATATTATTAGTACTTTTTTTTTGTCAGTTTATATCAAGCAGTCACTATGACTGCAACATCGGGCTATCGAGCTGTCAAAACGAATAGCAGAGAGGTGACTCACTCTGCATGTAACGGCTTCATTCTTTCATTATTGAAAGAAAGAAGCTTTTACAAAAGCTTAACTATTTCATTAATGAATGCTTCAATACTCAGGCATTCATTAATGACTGGTAACTGCTGAGAATCAGCGGTTACCGACATTACAAAGCTTGATATAACTCGTCACGTACAGTGTACGTGGCCAGTTATATAGGCACTTTGTGACGGGACGTACAGTGTACGTCTCCCGTCACTAAGGGGTTAATGTGAGTAAATCATTAGGCCCAGATAATGTACACCTAAAGGTACTTAACTACTTGCTGTCTGGAGCAATTTCTTACATTTGCACACACATGATAAAATCAGAATTTTTGGCTAGAAAACAGCTTCAGACACCCAAACAATTATATATTTTCTGAAAGCAGAGGACATGTAGAATAAAAAAATGCTAGTTGCAATGTTCCATGTTGCACAGTATTTGCGCAAATGTTTATCAAACAAGTATTTTTAGGATAAAATACACAAAAAATAAATTTAGTGCACAGAAACAGAATAGAATACCCAATATTTTGGCAAAATATAAAAGATGGGTCACATAGTTCTCTGGACCCGTTCCCGTAGCCAGTTCTCTATCCACGTACATGTCGGGTAAATAGATAGCAGACATGTCAAGCCTTAAAATTGTGTGCATCCGTCTAAGGCTAGATCCTACGCACAAAGGACTTTGAAACTGCTCTCCCTGCCTGACTCCGACCCCAAGGACCCCCGAGCATGGTGGGGAAAAAGGAATCCAAGCAGTGCCCCCGCAAACTTACCGAGCTTTTCCGCTCGGCGAGCTCGCCGCGGATCCAAGATGGCGCCGGCTCGTCAAGAG